CGGGGCGCAGCGTGGCCCTGCACGAGCTCGCGTGCGCTGTGCCCACCGCTCCCACCTCTTTCCTTCCTTTTTTTGCTTTTGGCTGCGCCCAGCGTTCGGGCCGCGGGATACGAGGTGAGCGGGAGTCAGCGAGCGGAAATGTCCACAAGCCAGAGGGAAGCCCCGAGGAGGGTCTGGAGGTGTGCGTGGGTCTGTTCTGTGGTTGCTGGTTTACGGTTGCTAATATGACTGTGTGGTCGAGGGCGTGCTTTGTGTCAGCGGGAGGTCTGGCTCCGCGCATCTGAGAATGGGGCTGCCGGTTCCTGCTTTCCTGCTTCTGTGGGTCAGTTTGCCTGGACTTTGCATGCATTGAACCGTGTGATTGGGCGTGTGCGTGTGGGGGTTGGGGGGCGGATGCTGGTTGAGAACTGGAGCTCGCGGCGGCCGGCCTGGAGTTCCAGCCTGGCTCTTGCACTTCCTGGCTGCGGGACTGTCATCACTACACTTCTCTGATCTCAGTGCTCTCATCTGCAAACTGGAGATAATAGTGTCCCTGTCCCGCAAGGTGGCTGCTTGGTATTTGTAAATGCTTAATAAATATTAGCTACTACTATTATTTTCCCAGGGTGTGAATGAGAGCTGCCCTGAGGAGTGTGCCACTAGGGAGTTGTATCTGTCAGCGCAACTGTGTGTGTGTCCTCCCTGGAAGTGCCTGTCCCGACCTCTCTGAGTTACTCACCTCTAGATCAAGACTTACCTTGTGCCCCCCACCCCTACTCCCACCCCAACCTGCCTCCTAACTTTGGGGAGACAAGATGTGTGAGTGTGCATTTGGGGTCCCTGTGCAGACATGCCCCACGGTGAAGCCGAACATGCTCAATGTGCACCTGCTGGCCCATACACACGATGATGTGGGCTGGCTCAAGACCGTGGACCAGTACTTTTACGGCAGTGAGTAGAGGGTGGGGACTGACGCTTGGGTCTCCCCTGATCCCTCCGAGCTCTTCAAATCCTCTGTGGGCCCTGGATATTAGGGTGGGGGCAATGCCCAGCTTGGGGTCCTGTGTCTAGGAATGTCCCCTTTGGCTTGCTGGTCCCTGATTGCTTGACCCCTGTGTCCACAGTCCACAATAGAATCCAACATGCAGGTGTTCAGTACATCCTGGACTCTGTCATCTCTTCCCTGCTGGCGGACCCCACCCGTCGCTTCGTCTACGTGGAGATGGCCTTCTTCTCCCGTTGGTGGCATCAACAGACAAATGCAACACAGGATGTTGTGCGGGACCTGGTGCGCCAGGGTGAGCTGCCCCAAGGAAGTGAAAAGAGGAAGCTCAGCCTAGCTTCTGTTTTTGCCATCCTGCCTTCCGAGATTTTTATCACGCTATGTGCAGACTGACTGCGCATGTGATCTGCCTGCCTGGAATTTCCCTTTCTTTGTAGAACTCTTATTCATCCTGCAAGGCCCCATCTCCAATAGATCCTCTGGGAAGCCTGCCATGCAGGAGGCCCTCTGTTCCAGATCTGGCTATACTGGCCTGGGAGAGACCTCTCTCCTTCCAGGCCTGGGCATGCAGGCAGGTCTTCTCATCCCCTGCATTGCCAACCCCAGCCCCACTCCTGGCCCTGACAGCCTACCTGGATTTTGCCCCTTCTGGTACAGGGCGCCTGGAGTTTGCCAACGGTGGCTGGGTGATGAATGACGAGGCGGCCACCCACTACGGAGCCATCATAGACCAGATGACACTAGGGCTCCGCTTCCTTGAGGACACGTTTGGCAACGACGGGCGCCCCCGTGTGGCCTGGCACGTAGACCCCTTTGGCCATTCTCGGGAGCAGGCCTCACTGTTTGCGCAGGTACTTTCCCTGCCTCCCTTGGGCCTCCCCCTTCATTGCTTTGACTCCTCCTTCGGCCACTCAATCCCCGCCGTCCTTGGGACCTGTCCCTCTACCTTCTTGAGACCCTGCTGCTGGAGTCCCACTCCTTTTCCTCTCTGGCCTCGGCCTCTCTCCGCCCCAGCCCAGGCTGACCACCCCCCTCTAGCTGCCGACTCCCCCTCTCCTGGCCCCGCCCCATTTGCTAGGATCCTGGCTCCTCTCCAAGCCAGGTGGCAGGTGGAGGCCTGCCCTGTTTTGCTAGAGGCTTCTTGACCAGTGCCATGACCCCTTCCATCCTCAGCCTGCAGAATTGGGAATATATACACTTAAAAAAATATATATTTTTTTCTGTGCTCTGACCCACCCCTTTCATGCGGAGGGGGCCTGGAGGGTGGTGGTGAGAAGGCCTCACACTTAGTCATCCTGCCCTCCATTCCTGTCCTCATCCCCCACCACTCCCAGATGGGCTTTGACGGCTTCTTCTTCGGGCGCCTGGATTACCAAGATAAATTGGTGCGGAAGATGAAGCTTGAGATGGAGCAGGTGTGGCGGGGCAGTGCCAGCCTGAAGCCCCCCACCGCCGACCTCTTCACCAGTAAGGGGGTGGCTAGGTGGTGGCAGGGTCGCCTCCAAAGGCGTGGCTTTACACTCTGCTGTCATCATCTTGAAGTCTTTAATAATTTACCACTAAGAGCTCAGCACTTGGCGCTGGGCTCCTGCAAATTCTGAAGTCCGACTTGGGTGGGGCATTGCAGGCTGTGACTCCAGGGCAGGTCCAGGGCGCTGGGCTACCCCCTGAGTCTAGTGTGGCCACAGGTGTGCTCCCCAACAATTACAACCCACCGGAGAACCTGTGCTGGGACGTCGTGTGTGCTGACAAACCCATCGTGGACGACCGCCGCAGCCCTGAGTACAATGCCGAAGATCTGGTGGATTACTTCCTAAAGTTAGCCAAAGACCAGGTAATCCCAGTGTCCAGAACCCGGAAAACAGGGGTACATACTGCATCAGGTCCTTCTCCCAGCCCAGGGATTGATTCCCTAATACCTCCTCCTACCCTCAGAGGAAGGTGATAGTCTCTTCACCTCACCATGTCCTCCTTCTGGATTTGCTCCTGATTAGAAGCCTGTGGAGCCCTTCCCCTCCCGACACACTCACCATACTCATGACACAGCATGGCAGGCCCAAGAGAATCAACTCAACAACTTGTGGCTATTTTTATTCATGTTCCTATGTTCCCATGTGACATACTTCTGCACCCCCCTCTCCCCATGCTACTGTGCATTCACAATTGGCCACATATATACCAAGACACAGCTGTGCACGGGGGTGGCCAGGACACTCTGGCCTGAGGACACCCCCGCTCTGTCTGCAGGGCAAGTTCTACCGCACCAACCACACGGTGATGACCATGGGTTCGGACTTCCAATATGAGAATGCCAACATGTGGTTCAAGAACCTTGACAAGCTCATCCAGCTGGTCAATGCCCAGGTGAGTGTGTCCACCCTGTGTGCACATGCGTGCTTAGATCCCTGGGCCTTGGGTCAAGAGGAGTAGCGATGGGTGCTCTCTTAGTTTTCTTTTGCTCCTATAAGGAGCTAATCACCAGGAATGTAGTAGCTTCAAACAGAAATGTATTATCTTAGAGTTCTCCAGGTCAGAAGTTCAACACTGGTGTCATGGGGCTAAAGTCAGCATGTCAGCAGGGCTGCGTTCCTTCTGAAAGCTCTAGGCCAGTAGATCTCAGCCTTGGCTGCACATGAGAATCACCTGGGAATCTTTTTAAAATCCTGATTTCTGGGCCTCATCCTCTGGAAATTCTGTTTCTTTGTTATGGGTTGGGGCCACAACATTAGTAACAAAGACACAGAATTTCCGGAGGAGGAGGCCCAGAAATCAGGATTTTAAAAAGATACCCAGGTGATTCTCATGTGCAGCCAAGGTTGAGAACCACTGCTCTAGGGGAAAATTTCCTTGCCTTGCTCATCTTCTGGAGGCCGCCCATGTTCCTTGGCTCATGGCACCCTCCCTCCATCTTAAAGTCTGACCCCGCTTCCACTGCCACATCTCTTTCTCTCTTACTTCTTTCACTTCCCTCTTCCACTTTTAAAGACCCTTGTGATTACATTGGGGTCACCCAGATAATCTAGGATAATATCTGATTTTTTTAAAAAATATATTTTATTGATTTCCCACAGAGAGGAAGGGAGAGAGATAGAGAGTTAGAAACATCGATCAGCTGCCTCCTGCACATCTCCCGCTGGGGATGTGCCCGCAACCCAGGTACATGCCCCCGACCGGAATCGAACCTGGGACCCTTCAGTCCGCAGGCCGACGTTCTATCCACTGAGCCAAACCGGTTAGGGCAGAAATATATTATCTTATAGTTCTACAGGTCAGAAGTTCAACACTGGTCTCATAGGGCTAAAATCAACATGTCAGCAGGGGCTGCGTTCCTTCTTTTTTTAAAAAAATATATTTTATTGATTTTTTACAGAGAGGAAGGGAGAGGGATAGAGAGTTAGAAACATCGATGAGAGAGAAACACCGATCAGCTGCCTCCTGCACACTCTCTACTGGGTATGTGCCCGCAACCAAGGTACATGCCCTTGATCGGAATTGAACCTGGGACCCTTGAGTCCGCAGGCTGATGTTCTATCCACCGAGCCAAACCAGTTAGGGCTAGAAATAAAATATTTGTAGAAACTTTCATCCCTTCCCCCAGTCTCTTTCCATATTATCTTTCCAGACTTTGCTAAGCAACTTCCCCATTCCTGATTTCTAGGATTTTAATCAAGGCTCGACTACATTCTTCCTGATCATCCTCCTTGGTCCTTACCCCTATATACCAGAATCCAGGAAAGAATATAGAGGTGGAGTAAATTGATGTAGCAGGGCTGTATGTGGGAGTTCATGAAGGGATAAGCATAAATAAGTAATACTTGTATGGTGAGAGAGAGTGCAAATGGAGGTGGATGAGGCCTTGGTTCCTTCTCCCCTCTATAATTGATGAATAAACTTGTTATAAGGCCAGCATCAGTGCCATCTTAAGCATAAATTACTTGAAATGTGTCCTTGCTGGAGGACAAATGAAGAAAAGAGTTGCTCCCCCAAACCCACCCACATACCATCTCGATGCTTCAGACTGGCAGGTGGTAGCTTTTTGCCATGGCTGCGGGCGTAGTCCTGAAGATTCGGGGCGCTGGAGGAGCCACCCAGCACTGTGGTACTGAATAGCCCTGTGCACTGTGAGCCTGCAAGGCCGGGAGTGCATTAGTAGCCACGCAAAGCTGCAATTACCACACAGAAGTACACACAACGTCACATGACAACATCAAGATACACACACACACCCAGCCATTCAGAGCCACCATCTTGTGGCTACTACACACAGCCACAAACAGCTTTCACTACTTTCATAGCTATACTGAGCAAGCAAAGTAGGGATTCTCCTGAAGATCTACATGGCTGATACAAGGGATCACTACAATGCAGGGTTAGTGATATTAGGGGACTCAAAGCTACTGAAAGAGGTAGACTATGCTTTCCACATGGCTCTCAGGAATACAAAAAGAATAGGCAATCACTCTATATATCCCTAGATTTGATTCCGTGTTCCTTACTCTGGATATAAGGTTCAAAGAACCCAGATCTCTAATCCCTTATAGGTTAAAAGTAAAGAACTTCGATTGAAACTACAGACTAAGTTTTGAGCACTCAGCTCAAATCCCAAGTTCTCATAAGTTCCAATTTCTCCTAAGTTTTTCATCCAACATTCCCTCCCTTCTATCTCCGTTTAGGCCTTTTTACCTTTCCCAAGAAAGGAAGTATGAGATTCACTGAATTTTTAAAGCTGAAAAATTATCCAGTTCGACCTTCTCATTTTACAGATGAAAATACTGAGATTCAAAAGGGACCTCATTTGTTCAAGATCATACATTTTGTTAG